TGTTTTTGTGTGTTTTTGACGACTGTTGTCTCGAGGGGGGATGTTGTGTTCGGGTATAGGGGGTGTGTACTTGGACCGCCTCTGCGGCCCCACCTCTGTGTGCCTGGGAGCGCCCCTGCCGACGCTCAGCTGATCGTGCGCGCCAAGCGGCATGACTGGCGCGGGCGACTAGGCGTGGCGCTGGCCATACTTGTTTAGTTTTGGAGGACTCTCTCGGCCCATTCGCACCGGCAGTAAATAAATCGCGTTTCTCTTAAGCTCTCTCTCACTCGAACCGTGAATCACGAACATAACATTATCAATTGCTGAAAGTTTCAAAGTAATTGTTTAACCCTCGCCGGCCGAGGGGGGGGGGCGGGTGCCGCCCCCCCCCCCCATAGGGTTTTTTCGAGATAGCTCCGAACACGCTGGCGATAGAGAGCTGAAACTTGGCATACCTGACCTTTGATCCAAGCCGCATCTTTTGACACCAACCGCATTTTTGGGTCAGGTCAGGTCACTGACCTATGACGTCATAAGTGAACCTCTGCACGGTCTTCAGATGTCGCAACTTCGCAACGCCCTCACTGCCAGAGGAGATGTCACAGGGAAATGAAACTTGCAGGATCTAGTATCCATTATGAGTCTCACAACTTGTATATCTCGGATTTTTCCTAAAGGTCATATGAGGTCAGGTCATTTTCGTGACCTCACCATTATAGGGGAAGTTGGGGGAACGCCGAATACTTTTTTTCTGACGCCCGTAGCACGCAAGGTAGACAACATAAGCTATTCTTGTTGGCGTCATTCGAGAGGCCAGTCTTTTGCCTTTCAAACATACCAGGCGCATTTGATGAATTCGCATACCGTTAAGCGCACAAACTAAAAATATCAAAGAAGTGATTTTTTCGGCGTTGCCCCGGACTGCGGGGAAAGCCGAAAATGGGAGAAATGATCTACGGGGAATGCCGACATTGATGTTTTGCCACTTTATCTCAAACTTTATCCAGAATTTATCAAAGCTGACACGCGTTTTAAGAGCTTGAGGACGCTTGGTGCACACTGGAAGTTATAATTGTGTGATATAATAAGAAATTGCCAGGTAAATAATTCCTTATAGGTAACAGGCCGTTGTGTCGGTTGAAAGTGTAATTTGTGTGACTAAAAATTCGCGTTGCTATTCTACAGCAGTAAAGTCCACGTAGCGTGCTTTAACGTGCGTAATTGCACGTTTTCGGCATTACCCCAGCCAGCCATACTTTCATTTGCAGGCCCATAACTTTTCAACGTGCCGTATAAATTTCAAATAGGCAGCACACTTATGCAAAGACATGCTGAAGATTACTTGACCGAATTGGCCAGACAAACGGTAGGATAAAGAGTAAGAAATGCAGCTTCAAAGGCGCATGTAGTACAAGGAACGCGTACCTTGAAAACGCTCTTGGCGCCCTCACAGCCGAAGTATTCCGAATGACGACTCGTAACAAACATGCGATAATTGTAGTCACTTAGGCTTCAGAGCATCACTGACAGGTGGCATCCATGTCTTACGGTTTTCGAAATATCTCGAATTTCGGCTTTGCCCTAACTCCGGCATTGCCCCAACTTCCCCTAAGTCAATGGGGAAAAATTCAAACTGCTATTCTGGCGCCGGGAACGATCTCCAACTATCTCAAGCACACAGAATCGTGATTTGATGCACTCCTTGCAACGTTAGATGCGTCACTTTTGCAATGTTGACCTTGCGTGACGTCATTTATGACGTCATCAAGGTCATATTAGTTTTTCGTCAATAACTCTTGATCAAATTGAGCTAGCGAGTCGAGAAGGCCACCAATGGACTCAGGAAGACCTGCCGAATCGAATGATATGCGACATGACCCCTTTCGACCAACTTCGTGACCTGGGGGTGCTGACCTGACCTTGACCTGAGGTCAACACCCCAAGTTGACCTGACCCGGACAAAAAGTATATCATTCGACGCGCCTGAGCGAGGCGAACACGATGCTGCCAAAATCGCGGCTCTGCGGCCGTTTTTTGCGAAGTTATTCACCAAAAACTGAACCGTACCCTGGGGCACTTGACCTGACCTCAGAGGTCACCGGTTGACCTAGGACATTAAAATCGGGTACCAATCTCTGCGTCTCGTAACGGCGCACACGCTCGTTTTTTCCGCGACGCGCTAGCTCCACCAGGGGCGAAACGGCGAGGGGGGGGTCGTACCCGCCCCCCCCCTCGGCCGGCGCGTATGTAGAAAACCAATAGGTCCGGCGAGGGTTAACCCGCGACCGCCTGGGGGGTCGGATCCGACCCCCCCCCCTCCGTTTTTCTTGAATAACTCAAGAACCGCTTACGTTATCAACTTACAACTTAGCATGCCTTTTTCCTTATCAATTTGACGTCTTCTGTGCAATTTTTAAGAAAAAATTTCCAAAAAGTTTTGAGATATATCGATTTTAGTGATGTAACTACATGGCGTTTTTAGTCAAAAAGTGGTAAATGTTTAAAAAATCGCCAAAAATCAGGCTTTAAAGCAAATTGCAAATTAAGGACATGAAGAGACGCAGCTTAACGACTTCTTTAAAATGGCTATCTCGGATTTTCCATAAAATGCGTTTTTCACCCCTAAAAATTCAAAAAACTACATTTTTTGGAAAACAGCTAATAAAATCCAAAATTTTGAGAATTTCCAAAAAAACGGAATATATGTTATAGAGCTCTATTAGAACATTAGATGTCCCAAATTTCAACTTTCTATCTTGATTTTTGACCCCCAAATTGTAAAAATAGCTCCAACATGCATAGGGCATGGTGACGTCATAAGCATTTTCGTGAATTAGAGGCACTTCTGAACATCGCATGTGAAAACAAATGGCACCACTAGATTCCTGGGTTAAAGTCCGTCTAGAAAAATGCATTTTTATGTCAAAAATAAAAAGTTGAAAAATTGACCTTTTTTCTCAGCCCTCGTTTAGTTATGTATGGTATAAACGATTTTTTATGCTTTCAATGCACACTTATCACCAGCACAGTGACTTGGGGTCACATATAACCATTACCATCGGATTCGGCGTGAAAAATAAGCCATAAAACATGTGTCGCACGCCCATAAAGCAGAAAGTGAAAACCGTGACCTTTCGTGACCTGACCTGACCTTGACCCGTACTTAGTATGACCCCTATACGCACATGGTACCTTCACTAGGCCTTTGAGGTTATTTTTGGTGAGTTTCGAGCAGCAGCTATCGATTCCGCTGTCCGTAAGCCTAATCATGCAAAACCCCAGAATTTGACCTTTGACCTGACCTTGACCCGAAAGTTGACCTCAATCTTAAAATCTTAAGAGTGCTTTGGGAAGGTCTCGTAGAGAGCTTTAGAACGCCGCCTCGCGGGGCTCGATGCGACCATTGGTTCTCAAGATAACAGGGGGGGGTCGGATCCGACCCCCCCAGGCTGTCGTGGGTACGGAAATAGCCCAGGCGGTGCCGGGTTAATCGGTGTAGCTACATCCAGCTAGTTACCCCTGCTTCTCCTGCGACAGAGATTAAAATTGATGTTATTGCTTTTATATTAATCAAACTCGGGACCAGACGCCTGGATGGCACCCATCGATCTTGAACGGCTTGTTAGTGTCTGGGTCAGGGAAGGTGCGCTTTTTTACATCTGGGTCTTCAGTTTCGTTTTTCACTTCTTTCAGGTTTATTACATTAATGAATAAGCTTAAATGCTCAAACTAAACGGCCATAGTAAGATAAATGCCACGCTTGTTCCGGAATGCTGCATCCAGGACCTCGTGCTTTGTTGTTGTTGTTTTTTTTTGCCCTCGACCCTCGGTCTATGTAGCGCGGTAAGCTCAACAAATCCCTCCGTCCTGAACGAAATATTTTGCCGGTCCCGTTTGCTTTTGTTTATGGTCACCGATATTGAAATTTCGAGAAATATGTTTTGTTTATTCTTTCAGCTACATTAATCGTTGAAGCTTTAAATTAATCGTTCAGTCAGCTGTGGTGAGCATTTACCTATATTTTTCTGGAGGCTAGGTTTCTTCAGGTGCTCTGGTTATCTGACCATGATCAAACTGCGTCTGTTTTTCATAAAATGCCGAAAAGATGCATGATATTGTGTGCAAAAAAAGGTGTATTTAAATGGATATTCGCGAAAAACTTGAATGGAGCCAAAAACTTCCCTCTTCGGCCTTGCGCGGGTTTAATGGCCAAGCAATCTTAAAAAAGGAAAGATTTTGGAGTTTAAAACGAAAAGGTAACAATATCAGACCTCTTTTTGACGGTACTGACTTACGTAATTTTTATTCAAAAAGAAAATAATTTTGTTTTTCCATTACATGAGCGGTGACCAATAAACTCATTAGAAGGAAAACTGCGTATGGCGCTGTAAAACGTCGCAAAACAGTAAGTTTTCAGCTAAAACCGAAAAAGCCACAGAATGCTGTTTATTATCATCTAACAGATAACATGCTAAGCTAATACATCATCAATGACACGGGTATTTTCATTAAACATTACATAACATGAAAGCAAGCGACAAATCGGCCTTCATTCAATAAATATACAACGACAACTAAGGCAATTCAATTTTAGTCACTGCTATGCAACGTCGTTTTACTAGTGCGAAAATGTTTTCACGTTTGTCTACATACGCGTTTCTTTCTCATAGATAAATAATACTTCCCTAGCAAGTACTGTCCAAGCATTGAACCATGTGCGAAAAAAAAACTGTCTCTAAAACTGAGAACATATATCGCAACTGGCATTGCCTGCAGATCTGGCATATTGTGGCGACCATCGCCAGTGTCACGAATTGGCATCTACACATAGGCCTACTGGGTAATGTATTTCACCACGCGGACAACATAACCACGCATGGTGCTTAGAACACAGCCTGGTGTACCGAGAGCTGACGACTACTGGAGCGGCCCCGTGCGGCCGCTGGGTAGCTCGTTTACACTGGGGCGCGGCTGTTCGCTGCCGATCATACTAAGTTCGCTGCCGCTGTTCCGAGTATTCACGTCGAGCCCTTGCCGGCGTTTGACCGGGCGACGATCGGCCGGCTGCTCTTCACTGCCGACCGAGGGCTGCCGCTCGCCGCCGGCGCCGGCACGTACCGCGTCTTGTGGCCGGTCGGCGGCGGGGACATCACCTTCCTTTTACGCACGCCGCTCTCCTCTGACCCCGCCGAGGAGGTGTCGCTGCTCTCTTTAGCAGTGGCACTCTCCAGGTTGGAGTAGCCCTCCAAACCTTCCAGGCCCTCCAAGCCGTCCAGGCCTTCGAGCCCATCCAGGCCCTCCAGTCCGTCCAAGCCTTCGATGCCCTCCAGGCTGGTGGCACCCTCATAGCCCTCCACGACATCCAGTCCATCCAGCTCGCCGATGCTCTCCGCGCCGTCGAGCTTGACACCACCGTAGCTGCTGTAGCCGCTCAGCGAGTGGCCGTACTTGCCGGAGAAGGCTCCGTGAGCGTTGTAGTCGTGCAGGTACTGATCACCGCCGTAGCCGGCCTGGCCGTAGCTGTGGTCGTGGTGGCCGTAGCCGTGGCCGTAGGAGTGGTGGCCGTAGCCGTACCCGTTGTGGCCGTAGCCGTGACCGTAGCCGTGCCCGTGGCCGTGGCCGCCGTACGCCAGCAGGCCGTAGTATTCATCCGATCCGTAGCCGCCCTTTTTCTTGTTTTTGCCGAAGATGCCTCCGAAGAAGCCGCCGCCGTTTTTGTTCTTCTTGAAGATGCCGCCGAAGAGGCCTTTCTTCTTCCCGCCGTAGCCGCCGTAGCCGTAGCCGCCGTAGCCTCCGTAGCCGCCGTAGCCGCCGTAGCCGCCGTAGCCGCCGTAGCTGCTGTGACCGTAGTGGGGACCAAAGTGGTCGACATAGCCATAACCGTGGCCATGATCATGACCATAGCCGCCTTTGTACCCGCCCTTGTGGTCGCCGTAGTAGTCATCGTGATAGTCGGCGTACAGCGTGTAGTCTCCGTAGCTTCCAGTGTAAGGGAGCTTGCTGGCACCGTATCCAGACTTGTGGCCCTTCCCATACCCGCTGCTCAGGTGAGAATACCCACTCGCCGATGTGGTGTAATCACTTGTCGATAGACCATAGGCACTGTCCGAGATATCGTAGCCGCTCTTTGAGGTGCTGTAGCCACCTTTTGAGCCTTTGTAGTCATAACCGTGGTCTGGTGCAAAGTCAAAATAGATGTCGCAACCATGGCCGTACTCGAAGTCGTGCGGCCCTTCGCCGTAGCCGAAGCTGTGGCTGCCAAAGTGGCGGTATCGGCCCTTATCCCTAAAGGCCTTGCCGCCCCTCTTTCCGTAGCCGAACACCCACCCCTTGCCTCCGTAGTCGCCGCAGTGCTGCTTGTTGCCGAACTTGCCGTAGCCGAAGGTGGCCGAGGCCGAGTCGAGCAGCAGCGGCGCCAGCAGCAGCAGCACCGGCAGCAGACGGTCCCGACACAGCGCCATCGTGGGTCACGGGTGGCCACTGGTCGCGCGCAGCGGCCACCCCCACTTATCAGCTCGGTTCGGGCCCCTTTCGCCGGTCGGCCGGTCTCTCCGGGTTGTGGGGGGTAAAAACTGGCTGACCGGCGCAGTGCTGACCGCCCGATGGGGCTGCACCGGCGCCGGACCTGTCTGAGGTCGCCGACAGGTCGCAGAGATGCGATACGCGCGTCCCGCTCCGCGTGCCTCGCGCAGCAGTGTAACATGCGACAGGGACGCAGGCCGGGCCGCGACCTAGAGCTTGTTCTTATTGTTTGTGTGCTGGTGGGGAGCGAGGATGCGGCACTACTGCCATTAGGCAGGTTAGCAGGTTATGTCATTTCATTAGCATTAGCTTGATGATTTCATTAACATTAGCTTAAAACTCATCGCGAGTCGTGTCTAAGGAAAGCTTTCAGTGTTTGTTTTGTTTATTTGCTTACTTCACAATATCGCCAACAGGCTGTGCACATTGAAAGACGAAGTCGAAATGACCCCAAATGAAAGTACCCGTTTATACTTTACTCACCTGAAAAGGTGTGCATATGCGTGTAAATAAAATTGCCAGTTTTATGCTAAAATCTGTATTTTTTATGTTCTGGTAAGTATATGTATTTAGGTTGAAACGCAATTGAGCTTACAAAGTACTTCATAGAAACTCATAACCATGGGTGGAGAATGTGGTATGGCAGGTTTAAGGTATGGCATGTGCCACACCAACTTAAAAAATGGTATGGCAATGCCATACCAACTTTTCAGGGTAAAACTTATGAAATTTGAGGATTACAGCTTGTAAAAATTTAAAATATGAGGCAAAAATGTTTTGTTTCATGAGCAAGAAGTTTCAGGGAACAAGCAGTAGCGGCGAAACACTTTCAATTAAGGGGGGGGGGGGCACTGCCGACTTTTGGTCCCATTCTTTCCATGTAACGCCCATAGGGCTAATGTTAAAATGCCAAAATCAAGGGGGGGGGCACGGTGCCCCGGTGCCCTCCCCGTTCCGCCGCCTATGGGAACAAGACAAGTGATTCACTGCATAGTGCATACTTGGCTTAATTAAAGATGCACGACCTCAATGCGCTTTAATATTTTGATATATGAAACAGTCATGTAGATGTATAGAAAGTGCACTGTTATACCTACTGAGTGAGTATGTGCCCAGATTTTCCTTGTCAACGTTTCTGCTATACAACATTGTTTGAAGCAGCTGGCGCCATACCAACTTTGAAGACAATTCTCCACCCATGCTCATAACGATAATCCGTGCAAGACGTCACAGCATGACTGAAAGCTAATTCCGACTCCGGCATATAGATAGTCCGTTTGAACCCGCGAGGGTCTCCGCTGGAAACAAACAGACCAATTAGCCGGGCCGGGGTGGCGGCCGTTCCGCTGCAGGGCCAGTGGCGACGCCAGATGCCGGCCGCGTGCAGGCGACACGCGTCCCCAGCCGCCATGAATGAAGACAATTATTCCTCTAGGTCACAGGGCGCCGGAGCCGCCAGCATTGAGAGAATTCCCCCAAGCAGAACCGCCGCCGGCCAGCTGCCGAGCGCCGCTCCAGATTTGCACCTGTTGCCGCCGACCGCCGAGCGGGGCGGCGGCTCGACTTTGTGTGCGCTGAGGCGCATAGACCAAAGTCGAGCCTGAGGACCGGCGTGGCGGCGGGGGCAGGTGCAATATGTTGGCCAGTACGGCGGGGGCGGGGGTGGCGGAAGCGCAGGGCGATCCTATTCATAAAATGGAGACCGGACGTGCGAGCTGCGGCGCCGCCAGCGGGCCTTGAATGAAGGGGTGGGGTGTTGGGGAGGCGGGCCGGGGGAGGGGAGGGGAGGGGTGCACAGTAGTTAACGGAGGTGGCTGGGGGCGGAACAGACTAGAATGGACTGGACGAGACTGAATTAACGACGATACAGGACAGCTTTTAAATACCGCCTGCTTAAGCCTGCTGACATAACTATAAGGCCTCCCTATCCGATTGGTGCCAACAATTACTAATGAATGACTGGATAGAACGCGCATTTCCTAGTTAAAAACCAGCACGTGGCAGAGCCTCTGGTACAATTTATTTAATCATTCACTGTTTCGTCTTAAGACGAAACAGTGAATAGCGATGGTGTACATGATAAATTCTCTGACGGCGGGCCGGAACCTCCCGCTGCCGTCCAGGTGTCTCCCCCGAGGATGGACAGCCATCTGGCAGAGCGGCGCGTGGCGCGTGCGTCCGGCCGGGGGGGGGGAGGGGACGGGGGCAGGGTGGCAGGTGCCACCCGCCGCCGCCTACCGTGACCCTCCCCGTGGCACCTCAGGCGTAAATCTGGCCGTCTGCCGGGCGGCCGGCCATCTGCCCAGACGGGGGAGGCGGTCCACACCTGCCCCGTCTTCCTGGGCGGTCAGCTGTCTGCTGTCCGACCGGACACGGCCGACCGGACACGGCACACACCGGACACGGACACACGGGAACGGGACACGCGGCCGGGGAGGACAGGGAGGACAGGAGCGGCAGGTGGGCGCCGATAGGACGGAGTGGACTGGATCTGGGCACGGAGAGAGGAACTGGGACTGAGACTGAAACGGAGGAGGAACTTGAGACTGGGACTGAAACCACCACTGTAACCGGGACTGATACCGTGAGACTGTGAATTGAACGGAAACTGAGACAGTGTGACACAGGAAAGCGCACAAGTATGAGATGGCTGGATGCAGTATGAGGCACGAGCCACGACATAGACCAAGACTGAGATCGAGATAGAAACTAGCTGGTCACGAACTGTCTTAACCCGCGAGTTGCTGGGGGGGGGGCGGGCGTTAAACGCCCCCACTTTTTTCGCCGGGCCATAGCATAAAAACGGCGCGCCGCAGGCGCGCCTAATTTTGGATACCTGTAGGAAATTAATTGAAGTTTATTGTGATTAAGTTTCAAAAAAATCGGTCGGACAATTTTTGAGATATCGAGGTTTTAGTGACGTCATTATTTCTGAGTTTTCAAGCAAAAACGGCATATGTTCAAAAAATCATATAAAATCACAAAATAGATATACAGACATGCCGTAAACGCCTTTAGACTGCCAATACCTTGAACAATGAAATAGCTATCTTCGATTATTGATTTTCGTTCCGCATTTTCCAAAATCTTGAACTGAACCTTGGCAATTTCTCGTGACTACTTCACGACCATGATACATGCATTTCTTAAATTGAACTTTTTGAGCCAAACACGTACACATATGACAAAATGAATGACACCATCGTGTTCTACGCCCCAAATTACCCATAAAACATGTGTCACAGGCTGCGAATATCAGTTTTGATTTTCGGGGATATGTGCCTACCCGGTTGACCTGACCTTGACCCTGACCTATGCTTGACTGACCCCTACATGCAGCTGACACTCTTGTAGACCTTATATGATGGATTGTGCACCGTTTTGACAGAGTTTATGACGAGAGGCGCCCATTGCGAAGTCCTGAAGTCCATGCTACTGAAAGCCCGATTTTAGGTGTTTGACCTGACCTTGACCCGACCTGTGACCTCAAAATTCAACTTTAAAGTACTCATCTGAAGCGTCTCGTCGCGTTCTTTCGTTTGCCGCCTCGTGCGTTTCGCTGCGCCTATTGGTTCTCGAGTTATCGGCTGGGGGCGTTTAACGCCCCCCCCCCCCCAGCAAACGGTGGGTGGCGAAATACCCCAGCAACTGCCGGGTTAAGGATGAAACACGGAAGACAAAAACCTAATAGGTAATTTTTGCGTCTTCCTAGCGGATCTTTTGTCATTTTTGTGCAGGATGATTGAGATGAAATGATAAGGGCAACGAACTTAGAGTTGTAAAGCTTGTATCATAGCAACAAATACAAAAATAAAACCATTCAGTGCCTCACAATCCTCAAAAAGTCCCGCCATGCACCGCGACAACGCTAGACGCTATTTATCAGTTTTTTTTTCATTTATCACTCCATTGGGTGTAGGTACGTACAAACACCAGTTCACAGTTCATTACGTGGGGAACTTTGGGTGATTACCGCCAAGTCCCTGAAGCTACCGAAGATTTGCAGAGCGTTGAAGGGATCCACTTGACATTATCGGTGGTCAGTACAAGTGCTGGCAGGTCGCAGTGATGCAACGAGAAGAGGCACCGCGCTACTTTCACAACTGATTCGATGAATCCGAATACGCCACACACTGATAAGCATTCGACGATGCTCTAATGCTGCGAATGTTTGGCGTTTACCTACTTCATAACGACAAGGTTGATGCTGATCAATAGCAAAAGGAAGTGTACCGTAGCAGTTTGCCAGTTTGCCATAAAAATTAAATGTTACATTAGTACTTACTAGTGATGTCAGTTACATAAAATCGGAATAGTGAATACCGATACCAAAACCAAATACCAACCAATATCATGGGAAAATACCGAAATCAAACCAACTAGGGAATATGATAGGAAATAGCCGTTTTCACGACGGGCTATCCGGCGAATGCACCTGATTTGACCAAATCTGCACCTAATTTCTTTTACAGCAAATATCTTCATTTTATGAATTTATTTCAGTGTTTAAATCGATGATGCTCTCTGATAATATGACAAAGCAGGCATATAAGCAATTAGTGCAGCCCTAGCTGATAGCTGCTAAGAGACGCACTGAACCTGATTTGACCAAATCTGCACGTAATCTGTACCAGATGTGCACCAAATGTTTACCAGATGGCCGTCGTGAAAACGGCTAATACCAACTTTTATCCAAATTCACAGCCTCTTGTAGATAGATAGATAGATAGTTTATTGACACTGCACTCTTGATAAAATACACACAATACATAAAATACAAAATTCTATACATAATGCAATACACTAAAAATATACATAAAAAGGATAAAACTCGAGTGAAAACGTGTCCATTAAAATAACAAAATACAATATGAGCACCGCGGACATGGCGAAACACAATCTAAATACATATTATGAATCATACTTTTCAAGAATGTTC